TAACGTGTTGTCTAAACATTTTTCTTGCTGCTCCGTGGGACGTGGTTTTCAGTGGCTACGTTGAGAAAGCGGATTGATGACCCTAATTTACGGAGCTGCCCCCTTCCCCTGCCCCGTAGTTGTCTCGGTGAGTCTGTGTTCCCATAGTAGGGGACCCCCTAATGCCCTCCTGGTCAGCATTTCCTTAGGATGATTCCTGAGCAACGCGGGGTCCAGGTCCGTCTCCTCCGCACCCGGAGCCGAGCGCTTCCCCGCAGGGCCCGTGCCCAGTGCTGCTCGGGGCAGCCCCTGGGTGGTCGGAGCGCCTCTCCCGTGTCCGTGTTAGCGCCAGACTCGGCGCTGGGCGAGCCCCATGTGGTAGAGGCCTGCCTGGAAAGCCCGTCCGTCGGCGGCCCGAGCTCAGCCCGCAGGTCGCAGGCCCGTTCGCCGGCATCGCCGGAGCCTGGGAGGGTGTGGGCTGCCCTTTGGGTGTAGGGTCCCCCGTCCTCCCGGACCAGAGGCTGCCTGTGGCCTCCGTCAGCCCGTGGACGACAGGCGCCGTGTCGGTGTCGGTGCCGCGGGGCCTCGAGGCGTGACCGTGGAAAACCCGTAGAGCGAGGTATTGACTCTGAACCGGAGCCCGTGGGCTTCTTGCGCGTGGCCGGGAGCCCGTTCCATTAGGGTAGTTTTCACAAAACACTTCTGAGTAAGAAATAAATTCCAGTTTTCCCCCCCCCCTCTCCTGCCAACCTCCACCTGGAATCAGAATCTCGTTATTTCGGTTAGAGCATGAGTACTGTCCCTCCCCAGCGCTTGGGACCCTCCAGGTCAGGCTCGCACGGCTTCTGTTTTTACCCCAGTCTAAACTGCGGCCCTACAGGATAACAAAATAAATACTGGAATATTCTGGTTTGGGAGGGGGAGAGGCAGCCATGCCTGTAATAACATGGCTGCAGACCTCTTGCTTTCCCTCTGTTTGATATTCCAAAAAAGGAAGAAAGCACAACTTGGAGCACATCTGTAAGTAATGAACATTTTCCTTTTGTGTGTCATGCATATTCAACGTAATCCCACTCGGCGTCCCAGGCATCGCTGCTGCTGCTGCTGCTGCGTGGAGCCGAGCCCTTGTTGCCGGCACTTTCAATTCAGGACAAAGGTTCTTCCCTCCTTCCCCCTCCTCGGATTAGGAATCTGAGCCCTTTGCCACAAACAGGAGTAGGAATCTGTCGGTGTGTGAATTAAAATTTTTAAAAAAAGGAATTAAAATAAAAACTTAACACTTTAAGAAAAAAGTGAATTAAAATAAAAACTTAAAAACTTTAAAAAAAGGAATTAAAATAAAAACTTAACACTTTAAGAAAAAAGTGAATTAAAATAAAAACTTAAAAACTTTAAAAAAAGGAATTAAAATAAAAACTTAAAACTTTAAGAAAAAAGTGAGTTAAAATAAAAACTTAAAAACTTTAAAAAAATGAATTAAAATAAAAACTTAAAAAAAAAAAAAACAAACAAAACCCAGAAACTCTCGGTATGTCCCACTCCCCCGGCCCCTCCCCGGCCTCCCTCCCGTCTCTTCATCTCCTTGGTGCCTGAGCGGAGGACTCCTTTCCGCCTGGCATCAGCAGTAAGCCAGTTTCAGGAAGAATGCTTTTTAAAAGACAAAGTGGGGAAAAAAAAAAAAAAAGAAAGAAAAGACAAAGTGATTGAGTTTTGTAATTCGGATGAGCCACTTCCAGTTGTTTTTCTGTGCGTGTGCGTGTGTGTGTCTTAAACCAAGAGGAGAGTAACTCGGTGTTAGTTTCTAAATGCTCTTTGGCCAATTAAACGTCCCCCGAGGACGGACGCCGTGGCTCATCCGAGGCCTCCATAAGGAGCTGATGCTTCCTTTGAGGGCTGGTCCCTGCCCTTTTTTTTTTTTTTAAATGAATTGAAGAAGGTTCGTGGGAACCCTGCGTCGAGCAAGTCTGCCGGCACCATTTTTTCCAACAGCGTTTGCTCCCCTGGTGTCCCTGTCCCACTTTGGTAGTTTTTGCGGTATTTCAAAGGTTTCGTTATTATACTCATTCCAGTCATCTGTGATCCTAAGTCACCAAAGCTCAGACCAGCATTTTTTGATGCTAACGGTCTGGAGCCGAACCGGCCGTGCTTCTGAGGTTTGCCTGCAAATCCACTCCCCACTGTACGGAAGGCACTTGTACCCTAAAGCGTTGTCCGGCACCTGGGTGGCTCCGTGGGTCTAGCGTCTGACTTCAGCTCGGGTCATGATCTTGGGGTCCCGGGATCCCAACTCGGCATCGGGCTCCCCCCTCAACAGGGCGTCTGCTTGTCTCCCTCTGCCCCTGCCCCTCGCCCTGCTCTCGTGTCATTTGCTCCAACTCGCTCTCTAAAATAAATAAATCTTTATTTTTTTAAGATTTTATTTATTTATTCATGAGAGACACAGAGAGAGAGGCAGAGACACAGGCAGAGGGAGCAGCAGGCTCCATGCAGGGAGCCCGACGTGAGACTCGATCCCGGGTCTCCAGGATCAGGCCCTGGGCCGAAGGCGGCGCTAAACCGCTGAGCCACCCGGGCTGCCCTAAAAGTAAGCAAATCTTAAGAAAGCTAAAGGCTTTTATTTACTTTTTTTTTAGTAGATGTATACATTTTCTTTCACGTGCGACCTTACCGCTGACCTGGGCTTTGTCTGTGTGTTACATACGGGATGGCCAAGTAGGCCTGGGGCACGATTGGATGCGGTGGTGGTTAGCGGTCAGCTGGTAGACCCTCAGAGTAAGTGCTCGTCAACACGACAGTGTTTGCTTACGAGCTCACGTCCCCGGCCAACGTCACGACGTATTCAAGGACAACAGTTTCTTTTCCCACCAAGAAACATGGGTTCTTTCCGCCTGTTACGTCTTTGGTTGGGATGGGACCCCGGATAGAGACTAAGGCGTTGCTGAATGGATGGCCGTGACCGCCGGCGTCCTTCGTACAGGGGGCTCCAGGCACATGAGGCGGAGGGGGGAGCGCTAACCCAGACCCCCAGCTCTTAAGCTTCGGATGTTTCTCCTACTCTCGGTGCCGAGGATACAGGTTCTGAAAGACGTTGATAGGTATCCCAGGGGAGCTTGTCCGTGGCCGGAGTTTGCAAGCGCGGGATCAAGCGGGTCCGCGTGGCCCTGTTGTGCTCCTCCGTGGGGACCTTTATTGTGATGGGGGGACGCAGCACCGGGGAGGCCAGCCGGGAGGAGGTGGGGACGGCACGGCCCGCGCCCCCCGCCAGCACACGTATCGGGGTCCACGCGTCCCTGAATGCTGCTCCACGCCCGAGCTGCAGGTCTTTGAGCAGGAGCCTGAGCTCCGTGGTCGGCAGGGGAGCCCGTGGAGGTGACCCAAGGTGCCAGTGCTCGTGAAGCACTCAGCACAGGATGCCGGGCGCCTGAGCACCCCGCGGCGGGCTGCAGCTGATCCTCGAGCCCAGGCCGAGCGGTGCCGGTAGCTTCCTCCTCTGGGGCCATCGCAGCGTCACGGGAACGGCCCGGAACGCGGGCCCCAGAGCTCCGGGCACAAGCTTGGCCGGATGCTGGGAAGCCACCTGGGCTCTGCTTCTTCACCTTCGAGATCACTAGGTGATCCGGATGCCTGTGAAGCCCAGTCAGGCTCTGAGGGAAACGATCCCGTGGGCTCCCGCCGGGCCGGAGTCGGCGAGCTCGTGGGAAGGACACGTACGGCGTCTCCGGGCGACTGTGCGGAGGGGCCTTGCAGCTGCTTATTACTCATGGACGGTGTACGGCAGCCACTCACCGGGTTAGGACGTCACCTCTGGATGGGCCGCCCGGGGCTCGGTGGTTGGGCGTCTGCCCTCAGCCCAGGCCGTGACCCCCGGGTCCCGGGATCGAGTCCCGCGTCGGGCTCCCTGCACGGAGCCTGCTTCTCCCTCTGCCTGTGTCTCTGACTCTCTCTCTGGGTCTCCCGTTAATAAATAAATAAATAAAATCTTAAAAAAAAATGAAGTCATGTCTGGAAGGAGCAGCTCAGGTTACGGGCAGCGTGGCGCGCCGTAATCGCCATAAAACCAGCAGCCGTTTGAGTCGCGATCAGGACTCGATGCGGCTTCACCTCGAGCTATGCACCTCATCCGGGTGTTCACGGTGGGATGTTAGGCCACGGGAATATTTTATCTTCGCATCCAGAGGCTGTCTGGAGGTCCGTTTCAGGGATGTCTCGTGTCCGTAAATAGATTTTCTACGCTCCGACGTTGTTATTAACCTGCGTGGAACCCGTGATGCGGATTTACCACCTGCTGCTCTGGGCTTCAGTTATCTCGGCCACGGGGCTGGGTCGCCGGTGCTGGTGTGAGGCCGTTGGGGGACGTTTGTCTGGGAGATAAGGCGGCGAATCCTTCCAGGAAGACCTCGGGTTTCTAAGTCACCGGTTTCCATGCCAGCAGCTTGAAACTCATTTTTTTTAAAGATTTTATTTATGTATTCATGAGAGAGAGAGAGAGAGAGAGAGAGAGAGGCAGAGACACGGTCAGAGGGAGAAGCAGGCTCCATGCAGGGAACCCAATGCAGGACTCGATCTCGGGACCCCGGGGTCATGCCCTGGGCCGAAGGGCAGGTGCTCAGCGTCCAGGCCCCCCTGGGCACCCCGGGATTTGCTGGTTCCCCTGTGAGGGAGCCTCACGAAGGCGGAGCGACGGCGAGAATGCCCGCGTGGCCTTACAGCCGGGACGGGGGCCCCGGGCTGGGACGTGCTCGTCCGTGTCACAGAGCAGGCCCTGGCAGGTGCTCAGCCCCTGAGCTGCTTCGTTGCGGGTTAGGCCACGGCCTCCGTGGGGGGCGGTGACGCGGTTGCCCGCGGTTGCCCGCGGTCGGCCTGTGGCTCGATCTGCATCACTGGGCCCTCTCGAGCGGAGGCCGGGGCCGCGGGTCCAGAGGGCAGAGGGCGGCCGACGTGCTGCAGATCGGAGCAGGAAGCCGCTGAGCCTGTGTCCTCGCCTCTCGCCATCCTGAATCCCTTCTCGTTGTGTCTTGCAGAGGGCGGAGCTGACCTCCGACAAGGACATGTACCTGGACAACAGCTCCGTTGAGGAAGCCTCGGGAGTGTATCCCATCGACGACGACGACTATGCCTCCGCTTCAGGCTCGGGTAAGGCCGCCGGGCCCTCTGGGAGATGGCAGGTGCCCAGCCGGGGACTCAGCCTTGGCCTCCCGCCGGTGCGCACGCCCGCCCTCCGCCTCTTCGGCTCTGGGATCCACGTCTCGACGAGGCCGAGATCCCGTTTCCTTCCTTCTTCGTGGAGTGGAAGGTCCTCATGGTCTCACCGTCACGGGGGGTCCGAGGGGTCGGCACGTCGCCAGCCTGGCGAGTGTCCATAGCTTGGCAGATAGTCGGCGTCCCGTCGACGTAAGCTGATTGGTCGTGAAGGCTTCAGGGTGGCGCACGTGGGGCTCCCCAAATGCCGCATCGCCCGACCATCGCCCTGTGCCGAGGCTGCGGGGCGGGACCGAGGGGGGCCGTGCTCGTTCCTCAGGAGTCGGAGGGAGGACGGGCCAGCACGTGGGGCGGCGGCGGCGGCGGCGGCGGCTCCGTTGGCTCAGCCGCGCCGCAGGAGACAGCACCGAGGGGCAGGGCCTGACCGCCGCCGCCGCCCCTCACCCAGGGTCCTGCAGGACGGCAGCTCCGGCGCACGGCCGGGCTCCCCCAAGGGCCCTCCTGCAGCGGGCCAGCCGTCGGCTCACCGGGGCAGCCGCCCCAAGATAGCCAGCAGGGGTGTGCGCAGCCTTGTGCACATGGGGCCTCGGACGGGCACGGTGCCATGACCACACTCGCTGGGCCAGAAGCCACCCGGGAGGCCCAGACTCTGCGCCTTAATGAGGGGATGAGCGCGGCCCCGTCCGGGTCACGAGGGGTGTGGACTAGGGCATGGGGAGTAGCCGAGTCCAGCCCGTGGGCCTCCTGCCGTATGTGGGGACTGCTTCATCTGCAGCAGGAGCACCCCTGTCCCCCCCCCCCCGAGCCCCGAAGCTGGAGGGGAGGAAGTGCTAACAACCGAGTCAGAAACTCGTGGTCGGCAGGAGACTGAGAGGGTCTCACCCGGGACCTGCCTTGCTTCGCATTTGCACCATAGGTTCGGCAGGTGGTGCAGGTGGGGCTCAGTGTAGTCCTCAGGCCGGCCGGGGCTTCGGAAGGACCCGGAGCAAGCTTCCATCGGTTGTAGGGTAGGGGCCTGCCTACGTGGGGTGGGCGGTTTAAGTTGGAAAACAGCACGTCTGAGCGACGAGGGAGGCGGTAGCTGAGCAACACGGCGAGCCCACGGCACGCGCCGAGCCTCACACCAGCCCTGGTGTCCCCGGGGACGGATGCGCGCCGCCCACGCAGGTCGGGTGAGAGACTCGTCCGCCGTCGCCCGCAACGCCGTTCAATATTCTGTTTTCACTCACGGCACCTCTTTTTTGCCTTCAGCATCTCAAAAGTGCTTTGTAACTACCTTCGAAATGCCCCGGGAGATAATAAACACGGAGCCCTTTGTTCCCCATTTCACGGATCTTAGATTCCAAGAGCTGTTAGGTCTGTAGACGTGTCCAGGTCATGTTCCTGCCTCCGGCCACGATTGCCCGGAAGCTCAACGGGAAGAGAGCAGGTGCACGGTCCTGTTTCCCTGGCAGCCACGCAGGTGACGGGAGCTTTGGGGAGGCCGTCGGAAGTCCCGACCCCGCTGATCAAGGACGTGGAGCTAAGAAGGCTTCGTGTGGATGCACGTGGACTGTTGCCTTGGCTCCGGCCCCGGGCAGATCATTGCTACAAAGGGCGTCGTGCTGGACTTTGGAAACACCTTTGCCCTGCTTGAAGGTCTATTGATTTGCAGCCTAAAGGTGGTCGACGCTGTAGCTAGAACCTGTAAAGCCCCCACGGAGCATCAGGCACCGTCATAGCCTCCCAGCATCTCTGTAGGGACGGGCTCTTACCGTCTCCAGCTCTTTTTTTAAAAATATTTTATTTATTCATGAGGAACACAGAGAGAGAGGCAGAGACCCAGGCAGAGGGAGAAGCAGGCTCCATGCAGGGAGCCCGACGTGGGACTCGATCCCAGGACCCCGGGGTCACACCCTGGGCTGAAGGCAGATGCTCCACCGCTGAGCCCCCCAGGCCGCCCGCATCTCCAGTTTTGATATGGGTGAGCCCAAGGTGCAGAGAGATGCAGTGATTTGCTTCAGCTCAGAGTAGTGCAGCTGGCGGGGCTGGAGAGCTGGGCTGGAGGGATGTCCCTGTCTGTCCCCATTGACCCACCCCCTACGTCATGATGGGCTCCTCTAGAATTACCCGCCCCCGCCTCCTAGCTGATGCCCATCCCAGCTGGAAACGGAGGTGCCCCAGGACCTTGGCCGGCATTCCCTTCGTCCGCACTACATCCTAGCTGTCTAGTGGAAGAGCACGTGGGCCAGAGGAGCACGGCCAGAGGCCTGGAGGGTACTGAGGAGACAGGGCTGTGCTCTCTGTGCGGCTCAGGAATGGGCGTCCGTGCACGTGAACGCTCCAGCCATTTGCTGAAATATCTCACAGGCGTTCGCCGTGTGCAGACCTCGCGCTGTATGTTCCGGGGACACGGAGATGAGAAGCACTTGGTCTCTGTCGTCGAGGAACCAAGAGTCTGAGGGAAACGTAGAGATCAGAAATAATCATCGTGACACGGGTCCGAGAGACGGAACATCGGGCGGTGCTGTCCCGCGGAAATCTGAGTCACACGGAGTCCTGGTTAAAGGTGGCAGATGGAACACGCACCGGTGCCCGCTGAACGGTCGACCCAGGGCTGGGTCCTGAAGTCACAAGGACACAGGAGACCCTAGAGGACGGAGACCCCGTGAGGCCTTGAAGGCCAGGGAGCAGGCGGCTTTGTCATGGGGAAGAGACGAGGACGTTGGTTCTGGGCAATGGAACGTGAGCAGCAGTTTCCCAGGTGGAAGTGGGCTCCGGGTTCCGGGCTGTGGGCTCCAGGCTCCAGGCTGTGGGCTCCAGGTTCTGGGCTGCAGGTTCCAGGCTGCAGGCTGCAGGCTCTGGGCTCTGAGCTGCAGGCTCCGAGCTCCGGGCTGTGGGTTCCGGGCTGCAGGTTCCAGGCTGCGGGCTGCAGGCTCTGGGCTCTGGGCTGCAGGCTCCGAGCTCCGGGCTGTGGATTCCGGGCTGCAGCTTCCTGGCTCCGGGCTTCAGGTTCCGGGCTGCGGGCTGTGAGCTCTGGGCTGCAGGCTCCAGGCTGTGGGCTCCATGTTCTGGGCTGCGGGCTCCAGGCTGTGGGCTCCAGGTTCCAGGCTGCGGGTTCCAGGCTGCAGGCTGCGGGCTCTGGTCTGCGAGCTTTGGGCTGCAGGCTCCGGGCTGTGGGCTCCAGGTTCTGGGCTGCAGGTTCCAGGCTGCAGGCTCCGGGCTCCAGGCTGTGGGTTCCGGGCTGCAGGCTCCTGGCTCCGGGCTCCAGGTTCCAGGCTGTGGGTTCCAGGCTGCAGGCTGCGGGCTCTGGGCTGTGGGCTCTGGGCTCTGGGCCCTGGGCTGCAGGCTCCTGGCTCTGCGTTCTAGACTGTGGGCTCCAGGCTGCGGGCTGTGGGCTGCGGGTTCTGGGCTGTGGTTCCAGGCAGCGGGCTGTGAGCTCCGGGCTGTGGGCTCCAGGCTGTGGGTCCCAGCTCCCGGGTGGGATGCCTCAGGCCAGAGGAGACAGTGAGCTCCTCCAAGTCAGGGCTGCTGAGATGTGATCACAGGCTCCCAGGCCCCTGGTTGGGGGGCGGGGGGGTGGGGCACAGTCTATCTTAATAAAGATGGTAGTCACTGCAGTAGAAGAAGCACCCGGGGCAGGTCGCTCCTCCGTCTCTGATGGCCGACGACGTGCTGGCTGGAGGGGATCTTTGACTTTATCAAGTCCCTCCTGCCTCACAGCGGATTCCCTACCTCGATGACTCGTATGAGCGACTGTTGAGAACAAAGAGGGTTGTGAGGCCCCTTAATGGAACGGGTTTCATTCGGCCCAGCACGGACAGAGACTTTTTTTTTTTTGTAAGGAAATGATTCATTGCAGGAACAAATCAAGCGTATTATCTGATTTTGCCAGAAAATACAAAAGAGCATGTGTTTCCGGAGCCGTCATTATCGGTGGCGTATTTACACACGGCTTCACGCGTGCAGCGCTCCCAGAACGCGTCCTGTTCAGACCCCTGAGGGTCGCTTACTCCCCCCGTTTTACGCATGAAGACACGAGGACGCAAGGCTTCCTGGCCCAGGGTCACGCAGAACCAGGACTGGATGCATTTCCAAGGCCAAATCCCGTATTTATTTATATAAATTAATATATATGATCAAATATGCGCTCCCACGTCATCCGTACGTGACGAGCGTACATGCTAATGGGAAAGGAGGTAGTCGATGGAGTAAAATATTCTAAAACGAGGAGTCAAAAACAGGAGCCACGCAGTGAGAGCTCTTGCCGTTTCCAGCACATCGACGTTACGGGGCCGTGATTGTGTGAGGAGTTTGGAGGCACCTGCTGCTCGTCCTTGTCGAGGAGGCGGCCGGTTTGAGCTGCGGAGTCCCGAGTGTGAGTCGTCACACGTCAGACGAATGATCACCTTGAAAAGAACACTGTAGTCGGACGTCGGAAATCCTCAAATACTGTTCTGACAAAAGTGCAAAAAAAAAAAGAAAAAAAGAAAGAAAGGAACCCGGGTGGCCGGGTGGTAGCTGGTGGTTCGTTGGTTGGTCAGTCATTGGGTGGATACGGGATCAGAGCCGGTCGGGCTGCGGGGACACTAGCCCGTGCGCCCTGGCCTTGCCGGGCTCGTCCACAGGGGAGACGCCACTTGGCGTAGAGCCGGTTCCACGAGGACAGATGCGCAGTGCGTGTGGTGAGGGCAGGGAAGCACGCAGCAGAGGACGCGCTGTGGGCGGGAGGCGAGGCCCGGGCAGGACGTGGGGGTGACGCCCAAGGAGCGGGAAAGGGGGGCCAAGGGCCGGACCACGCAAGGTGTTTTGTCTTTGTCTCAGGAGAAGTGGGATGCGGTGGTGATGGTTCAGGGCGACGGGGCCGCTGCGAGCTGGTGGACGCTGGCCTGTGGAGCGATGGCCACGCATGGACCCGGCTTGTGGCCCCGGAACCGGGGAAGCCGTCAGAGCAAAGACCTGTGCAGACACTAACATCAAGAGCGCCCGGCGGCCCAGGGTGTGACCCCGGGTCCGAGGATCGAGTCCTACGTCGGGCTCCCTGCATGGAGCCTGCTTCTCCCCCTGCCTGGGTCTCTGCCTCTCTCTCTGGGTCTCTCATTGATAAATAAATAAAATATTTATTAAAAAAAAAAAAGGAAAATCAGTAGAACGTCAGTGATGGATTCAGGGTGGGGGGCCGGGGGGAGGAGGTCAGAGTTGCAGTTTATCGGGATGGAGAGTAAGAGGCCGCCGGCGGCACCCTCGCGACCCTGAAATCCTGCGCGGTCAGCAGGGAGGAGCCTGCGAGGGGGCCGGGAGCTGAGGGCCCAGGATGCGGACACGACGGCAGAGCTCTCCAGGGCGGGGAGGACGGTACCCCGGATGGGCCAGGCCGCCCGCAGGCCTCGGGGGCCCTTGGGCGCAGCGGGGAGCCGGCAGGGGGGCGGGCGGCGGAGTCTCTGCTGCATGGGGCCCGCGCAGCTCACCTCTGCTTGCTCGCTTCCAGGAGCTGATGAGGATGGAGAGAGCCCCGAGCCGACGGCGTCCCGGCCGCTCCCCAACGCAGGGCCCACGAGCGCCGTCCCTGCCGCGGAGGCCACGACGCTGAAGACCCGTGGGAAGGTGCCTGCCCAGATGGAGGTGCGTGCGTGGGCGCCATGGGGTGTCGCCGCTGCCCTTCACCCTCCCCGGGGCCCCCACCCTGCTCTCCGTGCTGCGGGCGCACGTGGCCCTTCGGGGCTCCGCGGTCACTCTGGCCGCCGCCCACCTGCTGCTTCCTCGCTGTGAAGTGGATTCGCGTTGGAGAGAGGCTCAGCCCCACCGCGCTTCGGCCCCGGCCTAGGGCTGCATGTCCGGGAGGCTGCGCGACCCCTCGCCCGGAGGCCGGAGTCCTGGCCGTGTGTGGGGCCGTGCCCCTGCCCTGTGGAGGTGCACGCGGGTCCCCACCCCCTGGACGCCCCAGGGGCCGGCGTCGCTGAGCTGCCTCTGCAGCCGTCCTCGGGGCTGGGGCTGCCGTCAGTGGCCCCCGACGCTGGCTCCTCCAGCGACCACCACGCGTGTGGTTACGTCTCAGTATGTTCGTGGTGACCGCGGATGGGCAGAGAGATCAGGTGCCCACGCTGATGGCACAGCAACACCACCGGCTGCTGAAAACCCGCAGGCAGGAGGTTGGGGCCTCATGATCCTCATATTGTAGTGGGTTGACCCCCCACTCCTGGGCAAGCTGGCCAGGGTGGAAAGTGCACCTGGGAGTCCAGAGAAGGGGCGCAGGGCCGGGGTCCGGGTCATGGCCTGCGGGGGGGGGGGGGGGCAGGCCCCTGGGTCACGGCCTCGGGATGGAGGGGGATGGGCCGGGCTCCGGCTCATGGCCTGGGGGGGTGCACAGACCAGGCTCCTGGTCACAGCCTGGTGGGGGGGGGCAAGCCGGGCTTCAGGTCGTCTCGGTCCTTAGCGTGGATCTGCGCACCCCCTCCCCGCCCCTCCCCACACTCGCTCACACTCCCTCACGCACCTCTCGGAGCCTGTACGCTCTCGGAGAAGGCCTGGGCCTCAGATCCTGCCTCTGGTCCACTTTCTCTGCCCCTAAGCCATTCCTCACGGTTCCCTGAGAGGATTCTATGTGGGTGCAGCCGGCACGGCCCCCGGGCCCCCCTGAGCATCCTGTGAGCCTCCCCTGAGCTGGGTTAGAGCCGCGGAGAGAGGCCTGCGGCCCGCCAGCCGATGCGCATGTGCGGCTGCACTCGTGGACTCGCCGACGGTCCAGGGGCAGCGGGATGTGATGGAAGCCTGGAGGCACGAGCGTCCTCTCTGAGGGCTCAGCCGCTGTCCCTCGGGGCACGACGCTGCCAGGCTTTCGTAGGAGGCAGGACGTGGAAGGCCGCCTCCCGAAGGCAGGATGCCCGTCTCGCGTGGGGCGGTGAGGAGTCGTGTCCCAGCTCAAACCCCAGGTGACAGTCAAGTTCTGGTCAGTTGAGAGTGGATGGAAAACGGATTCAAATTCCTAAGCATCGGCTCTAGGGATGCGGTCGCGTCAGGCGTAGGTAAAGCGGAGAGGTGTTTGGCAGACGAGCTCAGCGATGAGGAATGTCCCGGAACACATCGATACGTTGACGATCGTGGTGCGTTTGCGTCCAGTGCAGTCACCACCGTCCCCCGATGGGAGCTCTCGGCCGCACATCACCCTGGGTGCCGAGGACGAGTCCGCGTGGTGGCCGCTCCGCGTCCGTCTCCTGGTTACCTGGCACGGCCCGCGTAATCGCTGCCCCCGGGACCCCGTTGATGTAGGCTGCTCTCGAACAGGTCCCGGGTGCAGGTGGCCCGTATCCTGGTTTGTCGTGAATTTATGCGGCAGCAGCGGCGAGGACATGGCTGTTGGCCGAGGCACAGCAGGGCTCGAGGCCCTTGACGTCCGACCCATTTCCACGGCGTCCCAACAGCCAGACGTGGGAGCCGCAGATCTTTGACTTCCCGCGATCGCGGCTGGTGCCGTCGTCCTTTCACGTTGCGCGTGTGTTTCCGGGGAGCCCCGTACCGTGGACCAACAGCCCTGCTTCTGCACAGGAAGGCGTTTCGGTGTCAGGAACGAGGGCTCCGCCCAGAGCGCCTGGAAGCGTGTGCGCTGGGGGACTGTCCCCAGAAGGGATGCGGCCCTGTCTCCTGTCTCCGTGGAGACCACCCGTCCCCAACGCCCACAGACCCCGGAGATGCAGGCTCGCTCCCGGCCGCTGGATCAGAAGTGAAGTCGCGGGGAGCGGTCAGCCCGCACAGACGATCGTAGAGACTCAAAAAGATCTGGGGGGGGGGGGAGGTCGTGTGAATCGTCATAACGACGACATGGATGCGTTCAACTCGGGGCCTCGTGTCGCCGTAGCTGCCACGTGCACCTTGCCCACCCCTGGAAGTCGCTGACCTTTGCTGTAGTCACAAACCTGAGTATCCACCTGGTTGGGTTTTCTCCCCTTCCCTAACCTGTGGCAGCCGCACCCGAGCCGGGAAGAGGGTGCTGGCTGAGGACCCGGGGAATCCGTCCCCTTGCTGCTGAGCTGTCTGTCCATCCTCCACGGCCCCGGTTAATCATGGGGCTTCCACGGGACGAACAGGAAGGCAGGCGAGGTGCTGCCAGAGGACTCCTCATTCCTTCACTTTGGCGCATGAAGACCTGGGACGACCTTTCCTACTTTCCCATCTCCATCGCGTAGGTCGTGGAGGGCGGGGGCACGTTGGGGGCATGTTGTGCAGCAGTGACGTAATCCCTCGGTGGCCTCTGCTTTCCGGAAGTCGTGGCAGGCCGAGGTTGAAGGCGGCCCAGGGTCTCGGGCAGCTTGGGGAGGTGTTGACGGACGTTCTTCATCACCCTTGACTACATGAACGTCGTCGTCTTTGGAGGCCTGCTGCTCCGTTCGCGGAGGCAGGGACCCTGGCTTCAGGTGGATCCACCTGGCCTCGCTAGTACGACCTTCCCGGACGAACCGGTGACTTTAAGGCACTTCAGGAAGGGCTCGTTTTGTGTCTGTGACCCTCTAGTCTTGAGGACCAGGCTGCGATTTTGGATGAACCTTGGTCGTCGGAAAGCAGATGAGCCGCTTGAGCACAGCCTGGAGCCCCAGTGAGGGTGGACTTGGCTGTTTGTAGGAAGAGTGGAAGAGCCGGTGGGGACCGTCGTCTATGGGAATATGGAAGCCGGTCCCCAGGAACGTCGGGGTGGGGGCTGGAAGTTGCAGGAAGAGTGTGGGTATGATGTGATGAGCACCCGAGCGAGGCGGTGGACATGGGCGTCCAGGGAAGGCATTCGGGGCCCACGGAAGGCAAGCCGACAGGACCGGGACATGGCAAAACCTAGAATTTGAAGTGTGCTCCAGTAACCTCGGGGCCCGGAGTCGCTGGCACCGTTGACGGAAGTGGGAAAGAAGGTTGACGTCACTCCGCGGTCATCACCAGGGGTTGGTGCCCCACAGGCTGCCGGGTGGTTGGGGTTCAGGCCGACGGGCCGTGAGCTGCTGCGTGCACTGTAGACCCGTGGGGCGTGCGGTAATCTGGGTGTGCGCTGCGTAGCCGGTGGACCAGGCTCCGAGGTGCGGGACAGCGGTAGGACATGGCCAGGACCCCAGCGGGGCTGCTGGTGGGACCCAGGGCCCCGAAGCCCGAGCTCAGGGTGGCCCAGGCCGTAGGAGTGGAGCGGTGGACGGGGCGTCCCTGAGGAAGTCCCGGGCTGCGGGAAGAGCCCTTGGGGAAGGGGAGCCTCCCCCCCAAGCGTGAGGAGAGTGAGGGCCGTGCCCTTGGGTTGGCACAGCCGGGGAGAGCTGCAGCCTCCGAAACATCAGCTAAAACCACCTAATAACCGTGTCATTCGGATCGTTGTGCACTCGCCACCCGCCGCGTTGCCTGGACCCGAGACGGGTGCTACACGAACCCCCGGGCGGACGTGGGGGCATCCAGGCCCCCCGCATTGTTGGGGAAAAAAAATGAACCTTGAGATAGACTTACCTGTTTCCTCTTGTTTCCAGCGCATTAAAAAAAAAAAAATCTTTATCATCTTTTCCTTTTTTCCACCTCAGTCCCCTGAAGAAATCGATGAGGACAAAGTCCACCTCTCTGACTCCGAAAGGAAGGTGGACCCGTCCGACGAGGACGCAAACGTGTACACGGAGAAGCACTCGGACAACCTGTTTAAGCGAACGGAAGTCCTGGCGGGTGAGTAGCCCGGGGCCTGCGGGGTCTCCAGAGGCCTAGGCCAGCCCCCCGACCCCCCGACACCAGACCCCGCTGGGCGCAAGGAGGGGACACCTGGGACCTGGCTGGTCCCGAGCTGCTGGGCAGTGAAGCTCATGCGTCCTGCTCCGGGTCATCCTCGTATCACCATCTCCCCGGAATTTGGAAAAGTTCCCTAGCGGGGAGGGCAGTGGACGCGGGGACGCCCCGGGTGCCAAGGACGCCGTCTCTATGGGTCACTCGCCTGATGGCTGTATCCACCATGTGATCCAAAAGGGGAAGATTTGCGAGATTTAGGAACACGTAGTCCCGAAGGCCAGGCTGGGAAGGAAATGTCCTTGCTCCTCCCCCAGCCCCCCCAGCCCCCGCATGTACCTTACAAAACTGCAGCCACTTGCAGCCTGTCTTGGGTCTTCACTGAAAAAGCAATTAGTAGATTAGACTATGAAATGCGAGGAAACTAAAGAATGTTTTTAAGTATGGAATTAGGGCAGCCCCGGGGCGCTCGGTGGTTTAACGCCGCCTTCAGCCCAGGGTGTGACCCCAGGGTCCCGGGATCGAGTCCCCCATCGGGCTCCACGCGCGGAGCCTGCTTCTCCCTCTGCCTGGGTCTCTGCCTCTCTCTCTGTGTGTGTGTCTCATAAATAAATAAATAAAATCCAAAAATATATATAAAGTATGGAATTAGGTGAGGCCCCAGCCAGCTCTTTCTTATGGAGGCTTTTGGCTGATACTGTTATTATTACTAATCAAAGGAAGTATCGCGCCTTCCCGGGGAATGTCAGATTTGCATGATTACCTGGTTGGCTCCTCGAATCCAGTTTCTAGCTGTGCCGGGAGGGTTTTCAAGCTGAGCCTTTTATGGAAAGTGTAAATAGATTGGGCCTGACCCAGTGGGTTCCTGCGGCCCTCGAATCCGTCCTAAGAGCGATCTCCCCGTTGGCCTGTTGCAGCTGTCATCGCTGGCGGCGTGATCGGCTTTCTCTTTGCGATTTTCCTTATCCTGCTGTTGGTGTATCGCATGAGGAAGAAGGACGAGGGGAGCTATGACCTTGGAGAACGCAAACCTTCCAGTGCTGCTTATCAGAAGGCCCCCACTAAGGAGTTTTACGCGTGAAACTCCCACCTAGTGTCTCTATTTATGAGATCACTGAACTCTTAAAAATAAAGCTTTTGCATAGAACAATGAAGATCTTTGTTTTTTGTTTTTTTCTGTTTTTTTTTGTTTGTTTTTTTTTTTCATTAAAGAGCCATTGTGGCACTTTGATGATTAAAAAAAAAAAAAAGTCCAAATTGTATTTAAAGCTTTCCATGTATTTCTTTAGGACGACGTAAAATTAAAGCTTAACATCCGCGGTGTTCTGTGAATAGCAGTGGCAAAATATTATGTTGTGAAAATCCTCTCTGTTCATGGAATCGGTTTGGACTTTCACGCGCAAATACAAAAATGGTTGTTTTTATCCTACGGTTCGAAGATGAGAGCTGTTCAGTTTGCGTCCGCATGTCTCCGATCGACCTTGACCAACGTGGTCTTTGTTAATTTATCTGTTGTTCCCCTCTCCTCTGCTCTTCCCCCTTGTCCCCTTGAAAACGCAACAAGACTCTCTGCCTTTTGTAGCTGTTACGGTGCAATTTGTCTCTGGATAATTCAGACAATGGTAATTTAGTGTATATGTGATTTTCAAATATGTAAACTTTAACCTCCACTTTGTATAAATTTTTAAGTGTCAGACTATCCATTTTACACCTGCTTTGTTTTTCATTACCTGTAGCTTCAGGCAGATTTGCAACAGCAAATTAATGTGTAAAATTGGATTATTACCACGAAAACTGTTCAGTCGTAGCTGTCTAATCAGATCTTCTCTCGGGAGGATTTGATGCGAGTTACTGACGAGCCTCAGCAAACCCAAAGACGCTAACAGTATTTTGAGAAGTTGCTGCAGATTCCTTTGGCCGCTGTATTTGTTGATTTCTTGCAATTTGAAGGTACGAGTTAGGGGTTTAAGGAAAAAAAAAATCAGTTTCTGTTCTTAAAAATGCATTTAAGTTGTAAACGTCTTTTTAAGCCTTTGAAGTGCCTATGATTCTATGTAACTCGTCGCAGACTGGTGTTCATGAGAATATATATCGGTTTAAAAAAAGTTGGTATTTTATAAGCACAGACAATTCTAATGGTAACTTTTGTAGTCTTACGAATAGACATAAATTGTAATTTGGGAACATAAAAACTACTGAATAAATCACGTGGCCTAATATTGAAAATGTCACTGTTCTAAATTCTGTACATTTCTCCATCAAATGTACATCCCCCCTGTGCAAGTGACCACCTGCTCTCGAGGATGACGTGGGTTTGATTTCTGAGCGTTCCACGGTGTCTGTAAATCCAAAAAGAGCTGCTCAGTGAGGCTGTTTAGTACCAGGTTCGCCCCTGAATCGGCCAGAGGAGATCCGAGCGCGTCCTCCTGGGCGCGTTGGGGCGTAGGTTCGGGAAGACGCCAGGGCGCGGTGTGAAGGTCGCACCCTCTGTAGGGCGGCTCAGGGCAGCATTGGGACTGATGCCTGCTTTTGCAGACGACTCTTCCGAGTGTAAATCCCAAAGAACCGAAGGGCACATGCCCGACGTGTCGCTGTCTAAGGTGGCGTTCCATAGACTGAAGACTGGTTTCCGCCTTGGAAGCTGTGCCCTGGATCTCTGGAGCTTACCCGAAGGACCCGTAGGTGGGATGAGGCCGCGGCTCCCGCAGCTGGGAAGGATCCGAGGGCAGGGCGGCCCCGGGCATGCATGGGGGGCGGGGGGGGTGGCCTCGCGGCCGGGGATGGGAATTGCTGGGAAGCAGGGGCGCCCGAGCGGAGAGGCAAGGCTGAGGGTGCCCTGCCTGGGCGTTCCTTCCAACAACATTTCCTTGTCTGTTGTAGCCATGAATTTTGTTTTCATGTGCGAGCCGCCAAAGGAGCAAGAGGACCGCAAAAAACAGCAACCCTTTCGATGCATAATGTACTTTCAATAAAGTGTGAATACTTCATTTAGAGAACGTTCCCTGGAATTGCCACATAACTCATTAAAAAAAAAAAAAGAATTTAAGCGGCGCTCGGAGCGGTGTTTACTTAAGTTTTTTAATGGCCTTAATTTCTCGAATTCCTGTTCCCATCACTTACAGAGTCAATCCACTTTAGAGTGATTAAAAGGAAGTTCTAGCACCTTCTAAAGCTGCACAATATCCCTCGATTACAGAGGATAGGAATGTAGTGGGGTTTACCTCTAACTGTGCAAAGCATAGTGAAATTCAGTTCGTAGAATAACAACTGCTTGGGATATCCATGCCAAGAAAAGAACGTTTCTGGCAAATATTTTGTCACTGCTGTAAAGCAAAATATTTGTTAAAGTGCCAAAATAAAGTCTGTCATGCTGAAAGTTAAAAAAAAAAGTAATTGTATAGACTGACATCCAGTTTGCTTCAACTGTATGTTTTCTGCTTAGTTTTTATTTTTAAGATGCAGTAAATAGTACTATGAAGAGTATTAACGATTACCGAGTTTAGGAGAAGTTTGGAAAAAAAATATAAACATTAAAGCCAATGTGAACATTTCCTGTTTCCTTAACCACATGTAAATGATTTCCTTTGTGTGAATATGGTTTTGTGTTCCAAAGACTTGCGGTATTCAAACTACCCCGTTTGCAGGGGACAGGGAAAGCAGGATGAGCTCACGGTGTGGTGGTTTTGGGGGATTTTTTTCATTTGTTTGTTTTTAAGTTTTAGCTGCAGGTACATAGTAGCTGACCTTCAGGATCGGGATCTGGTTAATAAAATCGAATTTGGGTTGGACAAGAGAGCAGGCGTTGCCATCTATTCACAATAAAAGTTGATAGTTTGGGGTCGAATGTTCAGTGCAATGGTATCTTTTTTTTTAAGATTTATTTACTTATTTATGATAGACATAGAGAGAGAGAGAGAGAGAGAGAGAGGCAGAGACACAGGCAGAGGGAGAAGCAGGCTCCATGCACCGGGAGCCCGACGTGGGATTCGATCCCGGGTCTCCAGGATCGCGCCCTGGGCCAAAGGCAGGCGCTAAACCGCTGTGCCACCCAAGGATCCCCAGTGCAATGGTATCTTGATAATCATTTTTGCAAAGTAGGCAGAAGACCCTTCCTTACTGAGGACGCGGTCTGTCCATATAGGGTCTGGGAGACAAACCCAAATAGGTAGAACATAATTCCCTGACTCCGGTTTCCCAGAGGAACTTGAATGTCCTGCAAAGGGGGTCTGGCTCCCACCAGAACAGGGGCAATAAATAACCTCACGGTGGTCAGGAGCTTGCTTCTTAGTGTCCTAGACGTTCTGAAAACTTAGGGAAAATATTTAAGTGAGGTGCAAAAACATAAAACTGGGTGAATGTTACAAACACGATCATCTTTCCAACTTTATTATGATCAAATAATGGATGGCAGAAAAAAAAGATATTTTTTAACATATTTGGTTTTAAAAGGCAATGCGTCGGGCGCCTGGGTGGCTCCGGGGTGGAGCGTCTGCCTTGGGCTCACGGCGTGACCCCGGGGTCCCGAGATTGAGTCCCGCGTCGGGCTCCCTGTGTGGAGCCTTCTTCTCCCTCTGCCTGGGTCTCTGCCTCTCTCTGTGTCTCTCATGAATAAATAAATAAATAAAATCTTTAAAAATAAAAATTAAATTAAAAAATAAAAGACAATGCCTTTAAGCAACATAATCTCTAACTTGAATTTCTGAAATTCTAAGCCCTTGGAGACAGAGACCCGAAGTTTTCAATTAAAACTAACCCTGGGTGGCGCAGCGGTTTGGCGCCTGCCTTTGGCCCAGGGCGTGATCCTGGAGACCCGGGATCAAATCCCACGTTGGGCTCCCGGTGCATGGAGCCTGCTTCTCCCTCTGCCTGTGTCTCTGCCTCTCTCTCTCTCTCTCTCTCTCTCTCTCTCTGTGTGACTATCATAAATAAAAAAAATAAAAATAAAAAAACTAACCAAGCCGGACGATAGAGGAGTCTGAAGTGAGTCACCACAGCGGTGTTTTCCATGCTGATACTCTATCACAATAGTGAACGTTGAGATTTGGCTATTTCTGGGAGATCTGCGTTAGCCGGCCTGGGGGACTTCAGAAAGAATGAAAACTGCCACATTTAGTGGTAAACAGCACCAAAAATGAATTTTTTCCCACTCTGCCTCGTAGTTTTGGGGCAACTTCAGCCTTAGTTTTATCGATTGAAGATTTCATTCCTTTTTATCTGTTGCCTATGGTTTTTGGCAAGGCGCTTTCTGACCGAGGAGCCAGTGCTGGCTGTGGAGCCCCTTGGTCCCGGGTCAATTAGCCGTGGGGGTGGGTGGGCCGAGCGAGTCGGAAGCCAGCGGCGGGGAGAAGCTCTAGGCCCTGGCATTTCCACTGCGGGAGCACAAGTCCGTTCGTTCCAGGTGCGCCGGCAGAGTAGCACCCAGCACCCGACGCTGGGACGTGCAGGGCCTCGGAGGTTGGGTGCGCAGGTGTCGCCTCCTGGCCCCACCGGGCACCTCTGGAAGCCGCGGCACATGGGAGCCAGACGGAGGTCTCGGTGGCATTTGGAGGGGAGATGGAGCAAAGGCGGGGGAGTGGACACCCCAGGCACGGAGGGGGCAGGGGGCGGTCCCCCCTGTGCCGTGAGCAGGGGGAGCCCTGACCTGGGAGGAGGAGCCGTGAGCGGCCAGGCTGGAGCGGGGCTTGGGGTGTGGCAGGAGGGCTGAGATGCAGAGGCTCAGCCTCATGGCCTCTCACGGGCCTCCTCCCTGCATGGTCCCTGAATCCGGGCGAGGCCGGTCTCTGCGCGTAAAGGACTGGGTGGCACCCACTCGGGGCTCCCATAGCACTGAGTCCCGGCTCCTCGCACCTGCCCGCGGCATCCCCGGGCCCGAGCCCCGGACGGTGCACCAGGAGACCCGGCGGGGCTGTCACTGTCACCTGGGGACCTAGGGGAACAGCGCTGGCGCTGGGCCCTGGGGCTCATGGCGGGGCAGGAAGGCCTGGGGAGGGTTGGTTGGGGAGGCAGGAGTGACAGGCCGTGGCCAAGGTGTGGACGGAGCAGGGAATGAGGACGGAAGGGAATCGGGCTGGCGTGTTTGGCCAAGCCCGGGGCTTGCTCTGAGAAGGGCACCGTCGGGGGTGCTGGCCGCGCAGGCCTCCTTCGGGGGCGAGGTCGGGACCCTGAGACTCTCAAGTGCAGAGTCGGCCGGAGCCTGAACATAGGAGTTGCCCAGATGTGCGGGCCGCTGCTCCCGCCGCCCACCCGTGGCGCCCTCCTTCTGTGCTTCCCTGCTGGGCTCGGGGTGGAGGTTGGAGGGCCGCACAGGGGTGCCTCACGCCGAGCTGCTCCCCCAGCTTCCTCGCCACCGGCCTCCGGGACGTTGGGGCAGAGGACGAGCGGCCAGGACGTACCTCTGCAGCGCCGACGTATCTGCTCCAGGGTGTCCAGCCCCACGGGGCTGGCTGTCCCTCGGGTCCCCAGCTTCCCAAGGGCTCAACGGGGAACACGGTCATCGCGGGGGTAGAAATCCCCATTGTACAGCGCGGGTGTGAGCAGACCAATAAGCACGACAATGCCCGTGGCTTCCAGGCCCTCAGGAGCCCACGGCCTGGACTGTTGGGGACTGAAGAAGTAATAGGGCAGAGGAGTCAGTCACTGGAATATTCCGGAAATGCCTCTGGTACCCACGGGTGGCCTTGCCCTGGGCTCACCAGGCACGAGTTTTGCCGCTTTAGTCCCCGCACTCTGCTTCCATAAGGGCCGGGGTGGCCTCGTCCCCAGGGTCTCCAGCCGCAGAGCGAAGCAGCCAAGGGGACAGGACATGCGGACACACTTGGCTGCGAGTCACACCTGGAACCGGGGGGGTCGTGCCCTTACCCCCCTTTCTTTGGGAGCATGCCTGTCAGTCCTCTCCGGCTTTAGCACCTGTTACTTGTTTCCAAGCATGGGGTGCAGATACCGCACGGCGCCCGGGCGTGGGGACCTTGGCACCGGCTTCGGGAACAACCTCCGGCGGGATTGTTCCTTCAGTCGTCCCCGAGTGACTCGGGTGCACCGCGGCCCGGACAAGGTTCCCAGCGGGCGGGACCCAGGGACCAGCGGAGCACGGTCCCCAGCTCTCAAGATCGTATCTGGGGTGGGAAGACGGGGACACTGAGCCCGGGGTTAGCACACGGGCCGCGTGGCAGGAGTCGTGGGTGTGGGGGTCACGAGGGTCGCGGCCCGACTCCCTGCGTCCCTGCTGG